TCTAAAAATAATTCAAAGTTTTATATCTAAAATGGTATGGAAGCACTTTACTGGACCAATGAAACATTTAAAATTTGTGCCCTGAAATGTATTGGTCATTCAGTGCTGTTTTCACTGAAATGATTGTAAAAGGTGAATTTCTCCTAGTCATTTAATACCATTGAACTACAGTTACTAATCTGAAAAACGCTCACTTTCTGAATGCACTCTAACCAGTTATATATACAGCGAAACATTAAAGAAGGAATTCCAAAAGCACATGTAAATTGACAGATTTTGCAGAAAAGGACATGAAATTGGCACAAGATATTATTTTACTTTGCCTGGCAAATCTTCAAGTTCTACAAAAATTGGTAAATAAATAAATAAATATAATAATGATGTAGTACATAACATATAAAATGTGAAACATCTATGTTAATTAAATATTTATTATGATATGAATCTTTACTATAGCTTCTTCTTTCCGTAGTCATCACCAGAATGTATTTTAGGAAATTAGTTGTAAAATCATTTAAGATGAAGATTTGAATGTCTTAGAATTATAACTCTTGCCAGCCTCAATTACAGTTACGTCCTATCTCCGGTGATTATGCCGGTGGTTATGCCAGCATTAGCCAGTTTGGTAGCCGACATTAACAGCACGCCTTTAAATATTTGAGCCAGCTTAAGCAGAACATATTTTCAATAAAAAAGTTATCTTATTAATTCTTTTATTAACTCCTTTGTCTTTGCCATCTTAATTTACACTGGAGCGATAACTTGCTTATTAGTCAAGCAAGATTTGAAGAACATTACTTTCAGCCTCTACCTAAGCAGAACATTAAAAGTGGGTAGGGAATATTTGTTGTTAGACCTTATTAGGCACACACTTAAAAACATAATAAGGTGCGCAGTCAACACTGACCAAAATGTAAGCTTTATAGCGATATTCTCTGTCGTGTATTACATCATCCAGGGCTTCCTGCGCTAACAAAACGTTTTTGTAAATAACGCTTTGGAGCACCTGGAAGATCGAAAGTTGCGTTCTATTGAGTCCCACACATATTTTATCGGTTTTAAATCTGAAGAATATACAAGACGCTGTATCCAATGGATACCTTCCTCTTATGATATTCGATCACTAATGCAGCGCGAAAGATACAACAGTCCACCAGGAAGACACTATTACATTTCTAAGGAAATTGACCGTTAGTAACAGAATCCTCATCTCTGTATATTTCAGCATTCATAGTTTCACTAGTAAAAACCGTGCGGCCATTCAAAATGATACTGCAGTCTACCATCTTTGTACCGATGTTCTTTATGGCTTTTTTTCCAGTTCTTTATGGTTTTTTTTTTTTTTTTTTTTTTTTTTTTTTTTTTTTTTTTTTTTTTTTTTGTGTGTGTGTGTGTGTGTGGTGTGTTTGTGTTTTGCTCCCAGCTCCTGATCACATCAAGTCTGGAGTCACTCTTCAAGGAAAAAGAAGACTTATAAGTTAAGACAATTCGGCTTTATTTCATAGTATACTCCAATCATGATAATATCTGCACCATTGAAACTGGACGCCTTTCGCAATCTGAATTAGTTGGACATTAATAACGGATTTTCTTGTATACAGCAGTTTTGTACAGCCTGTCACTCACGGTATATCTGAATAGTTGAGCTCCTCTATCTCTCGTGTAATCTGGACTGATTTCAGATGCCCGTTTTCTATTTAGACAGGAACTGTTTATCTTAGAACAGCGCACTTAGCAACATGGCTTTGACTAGGCAAGGCAGGCCGTGTCTAAACCACCTCAAACACTCACTTAAACATACGCGAGCTAACTTGCATTCTAGTGAGAAAACGGAAAGAAAGAAGTATCAGTAAAGATCCTTAACATAAAATAACAACAAATTAAATAAACTCTAGAAAGTCTTAAAAAAGCGGAGTAACAGATGAGCTCCTACAATACGTGATAAAGATAGTTTCTAGAAATTGTATCCCAAGATTACAAATTTATCAAAATCGAAACGCAATGAGGTTGCGTAGCTGAAAGCTATAGTAGAAAATAAGGAAGTTTATTGTCATTTACACGCAGATATATATATTTTTCTGTATGTGTCAGAGAAAAATGTAATAAAAGGAAGAGAATATTTTATCATTATTTTTCTTAAGTATTGTCCCACTTGGAAAGTTTGCGTAATTTGTTTTAGTTTGCGTAAGATATTTAGTGTTAGAATTATTTGACATAAATATCAGCCTAAAAAATTTAATCTTCTGCTGTCAGTTCGTTAGAATTACAGAAAGCTCTAGAGACATTAAGTTATTTCGAGGCCGGAGAGATGAAAAATGAGCAACGCCTTCGCCGGGAATCGAACCACGGACCTCTGGAATATGCACCCAGTGTGCAGCCACCACAGCACGAAGGCTGTAGAAATAACTTATATACTCCTTCTTTTAAAGGGCGACTGGAGTTTTAGAGGACCCAGTCACCAAATCCTGGGTGGGGAGAATCATCGTTCACTACCATTTTAGTTCAGGCACATTGTAAAGACATTAGGTTATTTCGAAGCCGGAAACATGGAAAAGGAGCAATGCCCTCACCGGGAATCGAACCACGGACCTTTCGAATACACGCCCAGCGAGCAGACCACTACACTGCTAGGGCATGCTAAGAAGGCGGGAGAAATAGCTTATGGAGTAACCATCAGAAATTTATTGCTATTGCTTTAGATTTCAGACAAAAAATAAACTGCAAATGTTTTCTTTGTTTCATTAGTATTACTCTTTGTGTATGATTTGATAAATATTTATTAAGAAAAATTTAAAATTTAGATTTGTTAAAAAAAACCCGTATCATTTCTGGGGGGAAAATCGACCCGTTAGCTGCTTTCAGATCGTGAATTCGGCCTACGTGCAGGGATAAACATAATGAAAATGGACTGATTTACGGGATAAATATAATGAAAATGAAGAATTAACTGTGATATTAAAATTGACACCTGAGAAACGGAAATGAGTTTTTGATGAAAATGAAATTAATTTGACTGTTTAATTTAATTATATTAATTTGAATATAGTATTAGTATAATTATATTAATATTATTAATATGACTGTTCGCACAGACCTTAACATAACAACATTATACGCGGCCTGTGACAAATCTGTCGCGAACTTGTAATGAAGTATTAAACAATGAACTAAGATAATATAATAACAAGGAAATAAAATTAGCAAATGAGGTCTGTTATTTCATTAAAAGAAGTAAATAAACTACATCACTTCTTCTTAGTACTAAAGTATCATTACGATTCTATTAAACTATATTTGCAAGCAATGCAACAGGATAAAGATTCGTATCTGTTTTAAAATGGGTTAAAAATTATTTAAAGATAGTATTGATTTATTTTTTGAATTTAAATCCAGAAAACGAAATTTAAAAATATTTAAGTGCTGGTTAAGGATTTTAATTATACGTATTTTTATATATTTTTTATTATATACTAGAACCTACTTTTATTACTTTATTATTATTGTATTATTGTCTGTATTTTATATTTTTAATAAAATTTTTTAAGTAACATTATTTATGACTTGCTGAGGTAACAAAACGTTTTCACTGAAAATAACGCCTTGGAGCAACTGGAAGATAGAAAGTGGCGAGTGATATCAATGGAACCCCAAATTAAACTTTGCCTAAGGCCTTTCAGAAATTTAATCTAACAGTGTAAGGGGCTGCGCAATTTTTCTATAATTAAATAATATGATTTTTTTTTTTGGTATAGAAAGCTATCTAGTATAATCAATCAATTCCTTACAAGATTTGTTTGATGCACGTGTAAAGTCATTACATTTATGGAAGCAGAAAAAATTAAATATGTGCAGTGCTCTCGACGGGATTCGAACTCCGGAATTCCTGACGGACGTGCTTTTAATTAAATTAAGAAGATACGCATTAAGAAGAAAATAACTTATAATATTATTACTTGACTAATTAATTAGTCTAATACAAAAGACGTGAGACTTTAGGAGGCAGTTCTGAAAGGAAATTTATCTTCATATTAAATACATAGAGGAATCTCAGTTCAGATTATATGTGCGACGCAAAGCACATTCTAAGTTTAATTTCTCAAAGTCTTAGTAAATTATATTTAATTTAATGTAATAAAATTCATTTTCTAAAATGATAGGTGCTAGAAGGAATTTTTTTATTTATATCAAAGTTAAAATATTTCTTAATATAACAGTAAAAATTAAAATACCTTACCAAAACATTTGTCATTATTCGGTCCCTGAAATTATATACACTTCCTTCTGCTGCTCACAGAACGGATTTTATCATACATTTATCGAAAATGAGAGAGGAGCTTAAAAATCAAGTCAGAAATAGTATAAAGTGTTATAAGAAATTACTCCTAAAATAGTCATCTTACGTTAATAAGGATACATATTTGAATTTAAAGAATATGAAAAATGTTAATATTTCACGAAAACACTGAAAATTTCAGAACATATATGATGAATTTAATCATTTCACTGTTTGGTTTAATTCTAAGTATAACTGTAGAACGTAATTTCAAAGCAAATGACTCTAAAACTGTAAAAGAAGTTCAAAATCTGCGTTTCTTAGACGGAAAGAATTCTTTATTTCTAAATTTATTGAAAATATTCATTATTAAAATTATAATAAATTTCTGTCGAAACGTGGAGCAGAAACCGTAAGTGATTAAACTCAGAAATTAAATTCATCTAACATAGTTCCTGCAACTAAATTCAACAAAAATTAATATTTAGCGATAAGGGTTTTAAAATGGCTAACCTGAGTTTTCTACCCACACACTACGTCAGATGAATTCTCAGACGCACGGAAAGCAGCTGCTTCTTGGTATTCAAGCCCCGCCTGCGACACCTAGAAAGCTCTAGAGAAACAGGTGGTGACGAAATTGTTGAATTAGCTGCTTTTGAGACACGACAACTAAGATCAAGTCACGATTTTCTCGGTATAAAAGATGCTGCCGCACAACTGGAAACCATACATTCGAGAACGACCCAAAGCTATCATAAGCCATGGGGTGGCTAACTCGAATAGCTTTTGTGCTCTTCTTCACTTGCATGCAGGTTTATCCTGCTTTAGGAGCTTCAGCTGACATATGGGGGAACCCTAGCACGGCAGAAGGTTTACTACAGGCGTTTACGCAACAACTCCAAGGATCTGGGGCATTTTCGTATGACCAAATGGATGATATATCATCCATCAGCGATACCATTATGGACGCCATCGAGAGAAGTGCTCGCTCGAATAAAAGCTCCAAATCCAAGCTACAAGCTCTGAATATGGCTTTCGCCTCTTCAGTAGCAGAAATAGCTGCGTCTGGAGAGGGAGGACAATCCCTCTCGGTCAAAACTGGAGCAATTATTGATGCATTGGCAAGCGCATTTTTGCAGACCACGGGCACAGTAGATCAAGTATTCTTAAACGAAATGAACGAATTGATAAGTATGTTTACTCAAGCGAGTGTAAACGAAGTCTCCGGAACAGGAGGTGGTTATGGTGCAAGCGCATCCTCCGCAGCTGCTTCTGCCGCTGGTTTTGCTGGAGCACCACAAAGTTATGGTGGTAGTTACAGACCTATTTCTAGTGCTGGTAGTTACAGACCTAGTTCTAGTGCTGCTGCCTCTGCTTCTGCTGAATCAGGTTCTGGGGCAGGAAGACAGCGGGAAGATTCTGGTGCTGCTGCCGCCGCTGCTGCTGCAGGAGGTATGTTTCACATCTCTCTCTCTCATCAATAACAGAAGTACCCTCCAAAATAAATTATTAAATTATTTAATTTGTAATTAAAGGTGTTTGCTTTCAAGCATGTAGAAAACGTCATATCCCTCACGATGTATTTGAATGTTAGGTATTTCTGCAGGGCAAAATATATGGTACATGATTTTGTTTGAAGATTTTGCTTTGATGAGCCTGTTTTATTATAATATGCTTGAATCATGTTATTATTTTATGATTTAAATAATAGTTATCTTGATCTAACAATTTGGCAATAACGTTGCATTTCGGCAGTATCTAGGTAAGTATGATATCTAAATTAAGTAGATTATCTTTAAATCATTCTGCTATTCTGAGTGCCTTTAAATCATTCGTCAATTCTGTGTTCAACCATACATTTGTAGATTCACAATCATCGAGCTTCTTAACATTTCATTTTCTGAAGAGTCTTTTTCCCTGAAATTATTTCACCTGAATTTTTATAATTTAAAGAAGGAATCTCTCTTTATGAGTGTAAGAATTATTTTTCTAGAAAATGCTTCTGTGAGTTTCATGAAGTGGAAAGACAAAATTTGAGTTTGAAGATTTTGAAGACTATTGGTTTTTTTTGCAATTGAAGTATTTTTAAACGAAAATCCAGTTTGAATTGGGTTTGCGATGAATCATATGTTTTGCAAAAGAAAATTATGAATGTTTTGCTTTTGAAAATAATGGAGGGCTATTATCAACTGGTGGGTCTTGTTAACAAAATATTGCATGTGAATATTATTAGGGATTTTTAGGTCCTTTATAGAGATGAACATGACCACTCTTCTATGGGATCAGACCAGACTTATTCACTCTTCGAACTGAATTGGTTCTTTTTTATGATACACTGCTCATCCTCGATGAAAAGACCTGGAAGTTGGATTGAATCGAGGGTTAGGAAGGAGGGAGCGAAGAGCGGAAGGAATCGAATGAACAGTGGGATCGAGAACTGTTAGCGAGAATGGAGGGAAGAGATTAAAGAAAGGAACGAGCAGCGGGATCGAAAGAATCGGCTCATTCTCAGGATGATTTACGATAGATATAGGATAGATTTTTTAGAACTGTAGTTTTGAGTTTGCTTAAAACATTCTTTCTACATAGAACTAAAAATAAAATTTTAGAATAAAAAATCTGAAAAAGTTGAGAAATGATCAAATTTAAACTCACATTTAATATGGGATGATAAACATTTTTTTCTTCACTAAAATGAGAATAGGGCATTCTTGGCACGCTTCCAACAAGAGTTGTCAGTGGGCGAGCTCTAAAAGAGCTACATGTTTTCCCCTTTTTACGTTTTGAGGCAGCGGGGACTTGACAAGAGAATAGAAAAGAGTGAAATGCCCACTGCCCAGGTCCGAGCCATTGTGTATGAAACTATTCAGAGAAGAATGCCGTTAATATCTGGACCCATGTTTACACCGATGGATCAATGATTCAGTGAGGTACTGGAGCTGGTGAAGGAATCTATTTTAACCATTTTGCATTCTATAAGGAAGTGGTAAGAGGTACTACCAGTTTTGATGGTTAAATTGAGGCTATATTTATTGCTTTGAATCAGTTGAGCACTCGGAAGAGTAATTTCGCTCAGGCTGTTATTTTGTCCGATAGCAAAGTCACTTTGCAGGCTATCTCCAACAACAAATTTTGTACTTCCAAACTAATTGACGAATATAGAAAGTTTCTCAACACTCTGGCAGATTCAGTTGTCTTGCAGTTAATTCTTGCTCATTGTGGCACTGAGGGAAATGAAAGGGGCGATTTCCTGGCAAAGAAAGGAACGACTATTCTACAAACCATTAATAACCATATGACTTTTAATTCTGTAAAACTCCTAATTAAATTAGAATTGAAGAAGAGGTTTACCTCCTACCTATTAAATGAAGCTAAAGGAAAGGTCTGGGAATGTATCACCTGCTCAAAGCCAGTTATTCCAGATTTTCTTTATCGATTCCAGAATCGATTCTTTTAGTCACTGCGGAAACGAATAGTACATGTTCACGTCCGAATCCTGTACTGCATGATTGAGGGAATTATTTAAACTACTTTTCAGAATCTAATCAAATCTTCTTCAATTGATTTGAATTTTCTTTTCATTCGCATTCATCTATCATACTAACTGAGACATTTGTTCCTTCCTCGAGATTTTTTAACTTTCTTGTCACTGCAAAAGAAATTATCTTACGGAGCAAAGAACAAAATACATTTTATTTTTATACTTTTACTTATAAGTATACTTCGAGAAATAGAACATGGTAAATGGTTGTTGGAAAATCGGTAATCAAAACGTAAAAGAAAAGTTATCTCGCAAAAATCTCCGTACACTTATACGTAAATACAAATTTCTGTGACAGAAATTTGCACATATAGCATTTCTGTTAGTTAGTATTTTTTAGGATATCTTGTAGCATCAAACGCCTGAGCATAGAGTTGACTAGTTTTTTTTTTTTTTTTTTTTTTTTTTTTTTTTTTTAATATCTTTATCAGTGTTTCTCCATCCTTCCATCATTCCTGTTTTTAGTTCGATTCTCGTTTTATGTGGTGTCTTCGTACTCTAATCACTAATTCTCTCCAAGTGTGTTCTATCGGGTTTTGATCTAGTGACTGAGTTGTTGTTTTTAGAACCTGGGAACAATTATGAACACACTAAAAGCGAACGTTAAGAGGCCGTGCGTTTAGGATCTTTATCCTAAAGAATAGAAGTAGTGTTGCTAATACCCATATTTTGAGCGGATAATTTTAAATTATCGTTTTTAAAATATTTAAATAAAGAGCATGGTTCATTACGCCATCAATAAATACTAATTTAGTTAAACCTGATGCTGATATGGACCTCAGGAAAAACAATTTATCCATTGCCATGCTTTACTGTTTCAACCAAGTTCTTAGGATTAAGTTCCTCATTTTTATCTTCTCAGTACGCTTTAGGCTTATTTGCTGTTGATTTTGCGAAGAAAAGAATAAGGTTTCTGTTTCTTTTGCACTTTACAAAAAAGTTTCTTCTAGCAGAGCGCTCATGTAGTCACGCTCATCTGAGCGCTATTAGAAGAATTTATGTGATGTAAATATTTTTCATTAAATTATGTAGAAATCTTTACAGCACTCAAACGTGGATTTTTCACAAATTTTCTAACCATAAATCTCTGATCACGTTAACTTTAACAGATGACCACTTTTTTATTTTGAATCCGATTTTCTTTTTAAAATTGATTTGTCATATTCTTCACTGTTCGATGGGATAAATTTATTAATTAAGCGGTATTCCAGATCAATTTTCTATCCTTATGATGAAAATTATCAATTTTCGTATAAAGCCCACCAGCGGCCGAGCGGTAAAGACGCTGAACACTGGTAGTTCGGTCCGAGGTTCGAATCCCGCGAACGGGCTGGCTGCATGGGCGTTTTCGTGGTTTCCCCATGCGTAACGCGTATACGAGCCAGTTTCCCTTAGAAAGTCCTCCACGAAAGGCATCCCTCCTCTTAGGCAGATAGCCCTAGTGTGCTTTGCCATAATTAAAAACACCAACACCAATTTTCGTATAAATTGTTTACTTACGACTACGACACACTTTTATATATTAAATAAAGTATAATGAAGTAAGCAAGCAAACATAAGCCAAGCAATTTTAATTTGACTAGGTAATTAAGAATTTCATAAAATGCACGTTTGTTTCTACTATTTTGATTTCCGAAGCGCTTAAACTAGAGTTGAAATATTTTGATCCCTTTTATACACATTAGAACAAGCCTGAGGAAGAACACGTAATTGGACATCTGTTCGAATAATTAGTTCGGATTTTAAGGCTTGCTGTTTGACTTAACGCCATGAAATTGACACAGATAGGTCTTTCATATAAATGTTATTTATGTCCAACCAGATTAGAATCTGAAATATTTATTATCTTCCTGGTATATTAATTTAGTCTACATTACCATTAATTTTAAATATCTTCCTGTTCTTTTTCCTTTCGGATAAAATATAATATATTACATTTACCGTTACATCTCCTTTTCTGATTATTTCAATTCTAAGCTTCTCTATCATATTACTTTGAATAGTTTGTTAAAAACTAAGAAGTGAAGTATTTGGTAAGATCCTTATTTTCCATATAATTCGAATTAAGGAGGTATAATTTAAAATTTCGATCTCAAAACTTCCTATTTTTTTTTAAATATTACCTTAATTTGTTGCGAGATTAAAGCTTTTTTTTATGGTGGATGCCGCTGTCTAATAAAACATTTATACATAACATATGAATTGATATTACTGTACGAAAAACAAACTTTTATTAGGTATTTCAACATTGTGTGATTTTATGGCCGAAAAAAACAAAGTTGATAACACTGTTTTCGAAAAATTGACGGTTTCCCAACTTAACTGTCAGAACAATTTTGAAACGATTGTTCGTAGAAATATAAATAAGGTTTAGTATCTTTACTAACGTTGTTTGACCCTTAAATAAAAGCTTCGTGTCTTTTAAAGGGTATGGTGGCAGAGGATACGGTCGTGGCTACGGAGGAGAGGGCGGCGCTTCTGCTGCTGCATCTGCTGGTGGAGCAGGACGTGGTATGGGCGGTGAAGGACGAGACGCTGGAGCTGCTGCTGCCGCTGCCGCAGCTGCTGCTGCAGCCGCTGCTGGACGAGGTGGTTACGGAGGCAGAGGTGGAGAGGGTGCTGGCGGTGCCGCAGCTGCCTCTGCTGCTGGAGCAGGACGTGGAGCTGGAGGACAAGGCGAAGGAGCTGCTGCCGCTGCCGCCGCCGCTGCTGCTGCTGCGGCTGCCGCTGGAGGTATTTAGTTCCGCCCTATTTCACTTAAAACCATGCGGAATTTTAAACATAAGCCTGCTTTGAGTTCTACCTTAGCGCTTTACGCAAAACCCTAATTCCTGTACTAATTACTTTACCCTACAGTAATTCCTATCTAGCCTGAAGAGCTTCCTAAACGGCATCATCGTTTTGTTAGCTTAATTTGCAACTGATTGCGATTATTGAAATCACCTCTTGGTTTCTTAGTGGTCACTTGGAACCGCAACACTGTCCAAAAAACAGTCAAACTCTATTGATGTGTGTACGCAATAGACGTTGAAATAAATTTTATTTTTAAAAACATTTCTGAATATGTTTTAAAGTAATTTTTATCGTCCAAATTTTTAATATTTAGCTATCATTCCTGCTCGAGTGCAGTTTCTGCCTCAGTAAATCGATAAATAATTTCGACTTCTAAATACTCCGTTTTTTTATGGAAGTGTTTAACTTGTACGAATTGTCTGCTGAATATTACGTGATCTTAACAGTATATAGAACGCAAGTGAGGAATTTAGTGCAAATAATTTATACCTCTGCAGCGAGACTCAAATCAGTTAAACTCTAACCTTTGTCAGGATACGCAGCTCAATCTGTTTTGTGAATTTGAAAGATGTTTCAAACTGCGTAGAGAAACAACATATAGTTACCCTTAATTTGACTAGGTAATTAAGAATTTCATAAAATGCACGTTTGTTTCTACTATTTTGATGTCCGGAACGCTTATAACTAGAGTTGAAATATTTTGATCCCTTTTATACACATTAGAACAAGCCTGAGGAAGAACACGTAATTGGACATCTGTTCGAATAATTAGTTCGGATTTTAAGGCTTGCTGTTTGACTTAACGCCATGAAATTGACACAGATAGGTCTTTCATATAAATGTTATTTATGTCCAACCAGATTAGTATCTGAAATATTTATTATCTTCCTGGTATATTAATTTAATCTACATTACCGTTCATTTTAAATATCTTCCTGTTCTTTTTCCTTTCGGATAAAATATAATATATTACGTTTACCGTTAGATCTCCTTTTCTGATTTTTTCAATTCTAAGCTTCTCTATCATATTACTTTGAATAGTTTGTTAAAAAATAAGAAGTGAAGTATTTGGTAAGATCCTTATTTTCCATATAATTCGAATTAAGGAGGTATATTTTAAAACATCGATCTCAAAACTTCCTATTTTTTTTTTTAAATATTGCCTTAATTTCTTCGGAGATTAAAACTTTTATTTATGGTGGATGCAGCTGTCAAATAAAACATTTATACATAACATATTAATTGATATTACTGTAGAGATTCTTTGTCCCTAACCATATGATATTTCTTAAGTATCTTGTACGTTTAGGTACTCGGAAGTGTTATTTAACGTCAATCCCATACTTACTATTTAACGATCAAATCCGCAAAGCAAGTTAAGTTAACTTTTACGAGAATGACACGCATGAAAAACAAACTTTTCTTAGGTATCCCAACATGATGTGATTTTATGGCCGAAAAACTCAAATTTCATAATACTGATTTTTAACAATTGACCGTTTCCTTAATTAAGTGTCAGGACAATATCGAAACGATTGTTCGTCGAATTATGAATAAGGTTTAGTATGTTTACTAACGTTGTTTGACCCTAAAATAAAATCTTCGTGTCTTTTAAAGGGTATGGAGGCAGAGGATACGGTCGTGGCTACGGAGGTGAGGGCGGTGCTTCTGCTGCTGCATCTGCCGGTGGAGCAGGACGTGGTATGGGCGGTGAAGGAAGAGACGCTGGAGCTGCTGCTGCCGCTGCCGCTGCTGCTGCTGCAGCCGCTGCTGGACGAGGTGGTTACGGAGGCAGAGGTGGAGAGGGTGCTGGCGGTGCCGCTGCTGCCTCTACTGCTGGAGCAGGACGTGGAGCTGGAGGAGAAGGTGAAGGAGCTGCTGCAGCTGCCGCCGCCGCTGCTGCTGCTGCGGCTGCCGCTGAAGGTATTTAGTTCCTCCTTATTTCACTTAAAATCATGCGGAATTTTAAACATAAGCCTGCTTTGAGTTCTACCTTATTAAAAGCGCTTTACGCAAAGCCCTAATTCCTGTACTAATTGCTTTACCCGACAGTAATTCCTATCTAGCCGGAAGAGCTTAATAAACGGCATCATCGTTTTGTTAGCTTAATTTGCAACTGATTGCGATTATTGAAATCACCTTCTGGTTTCTTAGTGGTCAATCGGAACCGCAACACTGTCCAAAAAACATTCAAACTCTATTGATGTGTGTACGCAATAGACGCTGAAATAAATTTTATTTTTAAAAACATTTCTGAATAAGTTTTAAAGTAATTTTTATCGTCGAAATTTTTAATATTTAGCTATCATTCCTGCTCGAGTGCAATTTCTGCCTCAGTAAATCGATAAATAATTTCGACTTCTAAATACTCGGTTTTTTTATGGAAGTGTTTAACTTGTACGAATTGTTTGCTGAATATTACGTGATGTTAACAGTATATAGAACGCAAGTGAGGAATTTAGTGCAAATAATTTATACCTCTGCAGCGAGACTCAAATCAGTTAAACTCTAACCTTTGTCAGGATACGCAGCTCAATCTGTTTTGTGAATTTGAAAGATGTTTCAAACTGCGTAGAGAAACAACATATAGTTACCCTTAATTTGACTAGGTAATTAAGAATTTCATAAAATGCACGTTTGTTTCTACTATTTTGATGTCCGGAACGCTTATAACTAGAGTTGAAATATTTTGATCCCTTTTATACACATTAGAACAAGCCTGAGGAAGAACACGTAATTGGACATCTGTTCGAATAATTAGTTCGGATTTTAAGGCTTGCTGTTTGACTTAACGCCATGAAATTGACACAGATAGGTCTTTCATATAAATGTTATTTATGTCCAACCAGATTAGAATCTGAAATATTTATTATCTTCCTGGTATATTAATTTAATCTACATTACCATTAATTTTAAATATCTTCCTGTTCTTTTTCCTTTCGGATAAAATATAATATATTACATTTACCGTTAGATCTCCTTTTCTGATTATTTCAATTCTAAGCTTCTCTATCATATTACTTTGAATAGTTTGTTAAAAACTAAGAAGTGAAGTATTTGGTAAGATCCTTATTTTCCATATAATTCGAATTAAGGAGGTATATTTTAAAACATCGATCTCAAAACTTCCTATTTTTTTTTTTTTAAATATTGCCTTAATTTCTTCGGAGATTAAAACTTTTATTTATGGTGGATGCAGCTGTCAAATAAAACATTTATACATAACATATTAATTGATATTACTGTAGAGATTCTTTGTCCCTAACCATATGATATTTCTTAAGTATCTTGTACGTTTAGGTACTCGGAAGTGTTATTTAACGTCAATCCCATACTTACTATTTAACGATCAAATCCGCAAAGCAAGTTAAGTTAACTTTTACGAGAATGACACGCATGAAAAACAAACTTTTCTTAGGTATCCCAACATGATGTGATTTTATGGCCGAAAAACTCAAATTTGATAATACTGATTTTCGAACAATTGACGGTTTCCTTAACTTAACTGTCAGGAACAATATCGAAACGATTGTTCGTCGAATTATGAAATAAGGTTTAGTATCTTTACTAACGTTGTTTGACCCTAAAATAAAAGCTTCGTGTCTTTTAAAGGGTATGGTGGCAGAGGATACGGTCGTGGCTACGGAGGTGAGGGCGGCGCTTCTGCTGCTGCATCTGCTGGTGGAGCAGGACGTGGTATGGGCGGTGAAGGACGAGACGCTGGAGCTGCTGCTGCCGCTGCCGCTGCTGCTGCTGCAGCCGCTGCTGGACGAGGTGGTTACGGAGGCAGAGGTGGAGAGGGTGCTGCTGGCGGTGCCGCAGCTGCCTCTGCTGCTGGAGCAGGACGTGGAGCTGGAGGACAAGGCGAAGGAGCTGCTGCAGCTGCCGCCGCCTGCTGCCGCTGCTGCTGCTGCTGCGGCTGCCGCTGGAGGTATTTAGTTCCGCCTTATTTCACTTAAAACATGCGGAATTTTAAACATAAGCCTGCTTTGAGTTCTACCTTATTAAAAGCGCTTTACGCAAAACCCTAATTCCTGTACTAATTGCTTTACCCTACAGTAATTCCTATCTAGCCTGAAGAGCTTCCTAAACGGCATCATCGTTTTGTTAGCTTAATTTGCAACTGATTGCGATTATTGAAATCACCTTCTGGTTTCTTAGTGGTCAATCGGAACCGCAACACTGTCCAAAAAACATTCAAACTCTATTGATGTGTGTACGCAATAGACGCTGAAATAAATTTATTTTTAAAAACATTTCTGAATAAGTTTTAAAGTAATTTTTATCGTCGAAATTTTTAATATTTAGCTATCATTCCTGCTCGAGTGCAATTTCTGCCTCAGTAAATCGATAAATAATTTCGACTTCTAAATACTCCGTTTTTTTTATGGAAGTGTTTAGCTTGTACGAATTGTCTGCTGAATATTACGTGATATTTACAGTATATAGAACGCAAGTGAGGAATTTAGTGCAAATAATTTATACCTCTGCAGCAAGACTCAAATCAGTTAAACTCTAACCTTTGTCAGGATACGCAGCTCAATCTGTTTTGTGAATTTGAAAGATGTTTTAAACTGCGTAGAGAACAACATATAGTTACCCTTAATTTGACTAAGGAATTAAGAATTTCATAAAATGCACGTTTGTTTCTACTATTTTGATTTCCGAAACGCTTATAACTAGAGTTGAAATATTTTGATCCCTTTTATACACATTAGAACAAGCCTGAGGAAGAACACGTAATTGGACATCTGTTCGAATAATTAGTTCGGATTTTAAGGCTTGCTGTTTGACTTAACGCCATGAAATTGACACAGATAGGTCTTTCATATAAATGTTATTTATGTCCAACCAGATTAGTATCTGAAATATTTATTATCTTCCTGGTATATTAATTTAATCTACATTACCGTTCATTTTAAATATCTTCCTGTTCTTTTTCCTTTCGGATAAAATATAATATATTACGTTTACCGTTAGATCTCCTTTTCTGATTTTTTCAATTCTAAGCTTCTCTATCATATTACTTTGAATAGTTTGTTAAAAACTAAGAAGTGAAGTATTTGGTAAGATCCTTATTTTCCATATAATTCGAATTAAGGAGGTATATTTTAAAACATCGATCTCAAAACTTCCTATTTTTTTTTTAAATATTGCCTTAATTTCTTCGGAGATTAAAACTTTTATTTATGGTGGATGCAGCTGTCAAATAAAACATTTATACATAACATATTAATTGATATTACTGTAGAGATTCTTTGTAACTAACATATGATATTTCTTAACTATCTTGAACGTTTAGGTAATCGGAAGGGTTATTTAACGTCAATCCCTACTTACTATTTAACATTCAAATAACCAAAACAAGTTTGGTTAACTTTTACGAGAATGTCACGCATGAAAAAAAAACTTTTCTTAGGTATCCCAACATGATGTGATTTTATGGCCGAAAAACTCAAATTTGATATACTGATTTTTAACAATTGACCGTTTCCTTAATTAAGTGTCAGGACAATATCGAAACGATTGTTCGTCGAATTATGAATGTTTAGTATGTTTACTAACGTTGTTTGACCCTAAAATAAAATCTTCGTGTCTTTTAAAGGGTATGGAGGCAGAGGATACGGTCGTGGCTACGGAGGTGAGGGCGGTGCTTCTGCTGCTGCATCTGCCGGTGGAGCAGGACGTGGTATGGGCGGTGAAGGAAGAGACGCTGGAGCTGCTGCTGCCGCTGCCGCTGCTGCTGCTGCAGCCGCTGCTGGACGAGGTGGTTACGGAGGCAGAGGTGGAGAGGGTGCTGGCGGTGCCGCTGCTGCCTCTGCTGCTGGAGCAGGACGTGGAGCTGGAGGACAAGGCGAAGGAGCTGCTGCAGCTGCCGCCGCCGCTGCTGCTGCTGCGGCCGCGGCTGCTGAGGTATTTATTTGCGAGGGGATCGAAATCAGGATTTGATCGTTATTGCGTCCACGTGAACACTTTGTTTTTTCCCCTCCGTATCAGGCGGAAGTGTGCTGCAACCCGTTTGTGCTTAGTTGAATTGGCTCTTTTGGTACTTAGTCTTTGTGGGTGCCGTCATGTAGTTATATGCCTTACGGCTGAACATCGTATCTTGGAGGGCCTTTGCGGCGAAATCTCCATAGCTCAGCACGATAGTGCGTCTCAGTGACTGGAAGATTTCGGGAGTATTGATCTCACCAGCAAATAGTTTTATTTGAGGATCGAAATCAAGATCCTCTTAATTTTACTTTTAACTTTATTATTACTATTTTCAAAAATACAAAGATAAGAATACGTTAAGTTAAATATTTACATATATACAGTGCTAATGAGAATACATGAGTCGTAGATCAGACATTGGATGAGGGTATCATGCTGCCATGATATCCTTTACAAAAGTTGTATTATTATCGACTATAAGTTTTATACCCTTGCGGATCCATTTTAGACCTGCTGGATATTTTACCAGATGAGGGTTATAAGCCTTACCTTTGGCTATGCTGAAGTATGTCCCAAAGGGGGATGATATCTTCAAATATTCTCAGTAATTATCCCATGATTTTACTTTCTCTATGAATATTTGTTTCTTATATTGCGCCGCTACCCTTTTATAGTCCTGTCTCTTATTCTTCCTGTCCTGACCTCTGGATCTTTGAAATATTATCCTGAAGCGTCTGACTTTACGTCTTAGCTCCGTGAGGTGTGGTGACCACCAGGTCTTTGTACCTCCTCTGGTTTTACGCTGGGTATTTTGGGTATTACTAGCGGGGCACTTAACATTGTTTTGATAGGCATCTTTGAGTTTTAAAGATGTTAATTGAATTTGAGAATTTAACTCCTCCTCTTCATCTGTCACTTTAATGTCCTCTGATATTTGTGTGATGTCCCTTTTAAGAAACAGCCAATTTGTGGCTTTTAGTTTCATTCGC